AATATTTGTAGCTTGAAGGTATTTTCCTGTCGAACTAAACTGTATTCCTAAGTAGGAGTAATTGTTCACTATTTGAATGGGCTTTCCTTCATATAAAAACGGCTTCAGTGCTTTTGTTCGCCCACCACCTTTGTGAAATGGTACTATTTTCGTTTTTTCTGTGTTGAGAACCAGTAAGTTTTCTTTACAATATTTCTGTAATATGTTTAACTTCTTTTGGCAATCTATCCATGACTCCGCAAGTATCACTATGTCGTCCGCAAATAATAACATTAGAAGTTCTTTTGAACTATTTATAGCTAAACCTCTTGCTTGGTGCTCATAAAAATACTTGACAATATCTGAGATGTACAGTGCAAAGAGTAATGGGCTTGCTGAATCACCTTGAAGTATTCCTTTTGTAATTTTTATTGGGCTTGACATCACCCCATTAATGTCTACCACTGCTTCCATATTTTCATACAATTTTTGGAGTATTTTAATTATTTTTGCATTCACTCCAATGTTATTTAGCTTTTGCCATAACTTATTATGATTTAAAGTATCTAAGAGTTTTTGAAAATCAATAAATATTCCAAAAACATAGAGTCCTTTAAAGTCTCAGATTGATAATTATAATTGAGCTCAAAGCAGAGATGCATTCCCTGCATCCCCTGTTTTTTCGAAAACCATTTTGTTCTTCTGGAAATATTTTGTTGATTTCTGACCATTCCATAAGACGGCTGTTCAGAACGTAAGTGAATATTTTGGTTATTGGATTTAATAGAGCTATAGTTCTATAATTGGTCGGGTCATTTTTGTCACCTTTATTGAAAATTGGTTTTATTATTATTTTCTCCCAGCATTTGGGGATTTCTTCTTGTTTATAGACTTCATTCATAAGATTGAGCATGTAATGTTCCCATTCAGGTGTTAATAATTTGTAATATTCATAAGGTATCCCTTCATTGCCAGGGGATTTACCTCTTTTCTTGTGTTGAATAGCTATTTGCAGTTCTTCTAAAGATATTTCACATTCAAGGAATGGATTTATTATCTTTAATGTTGTATCTATACCACGATTTGGAGAGGAATAGAAATTTCTATAGAAATTCTCAAAAGTTTCTGATATTTCCAGCTCAACGTTTTTTTTTTTTTCCTAAATCCTTTTATTGTTTACCAAAATTCGTTGCTATTTTTTGGTTCAGAAATTTATAATATTCCTTTTTAGACTCTCTCAAGACCTGTTTATATATTTTCTTTCCTTTACGTATGCGTTTAGAATCTCTTTTGAAAATGGATGTTTTCTGAATATTTTATACTTTTTATGGACTTCTTTTTTTTTTAACATTACATTTTTCGTCGAGTCAGCTTTTATTGTCCGATGTAAAACCAGTTTTTATTGTTTTAGTTTTTGAGAAATCTAATTTCATGGCTACGTGAGTAATTGTATTTTTAAAATTTTCGTAGATGTTTGACACACTATTGGAATTGTAATATATATTAGAGGAATGTTTTAATAAATCGAGGAAACGTTCAATATTACGCATTTCCCACTTGAATGATTGCATTTTACGGAAGTTATTTTCACGGTTGTGAAGTTTAGATGAATAAAGCGGGAGGTTAAGTTCGAAAAGGAGCATCATATGAGAAGAAACTTCCGGTACTTGGCCCACGACCATATCATTAACAAATGGCATCATATTGAGGTTTATCCAGATTGTATCCACTACAGACCTGCCATTATGACAAGTAAAATGTCCTAATCCGTCACTGTAACTCCTACCGGTGATCATTATAAAATCATTTTCCTCTAAAAGGTTTGCCATTTTTTCCCCCCTCAAATTCGTAACTCTGTCCTGCGACTGTCTAATCTCATTCAACATTGTTCCTTCAAAGAGATTGTATTCAGTCGATTGGTTTAACGCATCGAACCTTCCATTCCAATCCCCTCCGAGCAAAATGTATTTACGAGAAAGATCATCTTTTATTTCAGTCAATACTTCACCAAAAAGGTCGATAAATTCATCTGTGTTATAAGTTTGGTTGAAATAAATGTTGCCTATCATTAGTTTTATGTTATATAATTCTATTTCTAAAAATAGTCATAAATTACAACAATCAATAATATTTGCCTTCAAGTTAAGTATTTTTTTAACTACGGTTAATAAACTTTCACTGCCTCTGCCTTTAGTTTTCCGTTTAATGGCTTTCGAATTAACTATTAGGTAGTCACTAAAACAACTATGAAGCGAAATTCGTCTTTGAGGATAAATGTCTCTTGTAGGCAAATTATTTGATATTTAGACATAAGATTTAAATATTCATTATTTAAATTATAAAAAATTTTATACCCTTCTACATTCCAGTACATTATTCCCAAGCCATTTTCCATGCAGTCCAGGAGCTGTTGTGACATTTTTTTTTATAGTTGTAGTTTCTGAGGTCAGGAGTTATTTTCCAGGGATGGGCCACTCAGGGAGCTAGATCTTGGTCTGAACTGAAATCCTTGTAATCTTTCTTCTGTTTTTCTCTTCTTATTTATTTGCTTAGATTCTCCATCCTTTTTTTTCAACATTACCCGGCGAGCTATTCAGAATATTTTCCACTTCATTCAACCGGTAAAGGCAACCTCTAACTTTAAAGAAACCTTTTTTATAAACTGCATTTTTATCAAGAGCCTTTACCTTAGTTATATAGTCGAATATTTTTCTGTCTTTCTCTCTATCCTCCGGCAATCTATCGTGAGTTATTCTGATATTCATATTTTCAAATGTCTTTTTCTCTTTTATTATTAACTGTTTAATATAGTTGTTATTGAGCACGGGCGGATCTACGGGGGGGGGCTTTCGGGGCCCCCCAAAAAATAGTGAAATATAACCGTGTTTTATCGAAAAAAATATTAAAAAAGTATCTCTTAAAGTATTATTGTTCGTGTAATTACATTTAGAAGGTCTTTAGGAATCACTTGAACACCATTTCATACAGGTAGTTAGTTTCTTTCTTTTTTTCCAAAATAATTATCGTTATTTTTATGAAACAAACAACTTTCGGGCTGAAGCCCCCCCCCCCAAAATAAATCCTGGATCCGCTAGTGTTATTGAGTGATACTAAAATTGGTCTAGGTTGTTTGCCCTTTTCTATTTTGAAATAGTTGTTAATAGCTAGTTCAGGTATTTCTATGATATGCCTTTGCACGGACATCTTCGTTTTTCGTACCAGACAGATTAAATATTAAAAGAATATTTCTTTTTCTTTCTTTTTTTATGTATCTTATTTCGTTTTGTAGGGCTAAAATTTTCTTGTCCTGGTCGGATTTTTTCTTTTTGAGCTCTGAAATTTCTTCCATTAGAGAATCAAGAATTATTACGATGTTATTTAAATATAATTTTGTTTCTTCATTTTTTTTTTTTTTTTTAAGCTCAGGCAGTAGATCTTCATTGGTGATACCCATAATCTATACGTTGTAAAAAAGTGTTTTTAAACAAATGGTCTATTTTAAAATTGGAGAGAAATTAAAGGTGAATATAAATAAATAAAATAAAATTCCTTCGACGAAATGTCCAAGTCAACGTAAATATCGTCGACAAGGAACAGCTGTTTGCTGTTACTGACCTTGTGATAAGATTGAGACAGAAGAGAGGGAATTTCTTGCAGATTTTAGCGATTATGGTTGCAAACTTTCAGCGAAATTCCTCATGTATTCCTTCACAGCTGCTCTTACACTCGTCAGAACACCACCGAAATTTGTAAAAACATTCCTCAATACGAATACCACAGGAGTATATCAAAAATCACTTTTGTAGGGAATATATAACTTAATAGGATTAAAAACGAACACAGACCCGAACTGACACTTAACACGGTCAAAGTGTCCTCCTAGGCAGTTGACCTAGAAACAATACTCTTACAAAATACTGAATCCAAGACCCTCCATGGTTTGTAGTCGTACTTTTTACTTTCCTACCTATATTAGGTAAGGAAAGTATTGCAATCGGATCAAATTTCCGATATGCGGTTTTTGACGGATCTATAAATTTTGGAGCCCCCTGATTTCGAAAAACACATTTTTAGCCATTGGTCTGTCTGTCTGTGCCAAGATTTTCTCGGAACTAATGAACCGATTTTGTTGCTTTTTTTTTTATTTTGTAGGGTTTTGACTACTGATGCCTGTAACACAAATTGGATGCTTCATGCGCAATAAATGAAAACATGTTTTTCTATAGACTTTAACGGCTCTAACGATTTTGATTAAACTTTCTTATAATGTTTTAATAATCGTCCTTTCAGTTTTCGTATATGGACTAAATTTCCGAAAAATTCATAAAAAAAAAAAAATGTTTTCGGGCCTAACTCGAAAAACACATTTTAGCCTACTTTTTAAAAAAATTTTTAAGGTAATGAAATTCCCTACAAAACTGTATAAAAATCGTTCATATAGGACAATTATCAAGTCGAAGTTACAAGCTTTTCAATTTCCAATACTAGAGTACGGGTCCATATCTTGGTTTCAGAATGGGTTGAATGAGATAAAAATGATAACTAAGTGAAAGTAAGAAAATCTGTCGCCCGCATCACACAAGTTTAACTATTTCCTCTACTTCTAACAGAAACAGTAGTATTAGAGAGTATTGAAATTTTTACGCTGATCTACCTCAAGCCGGTTTACATTGATTTAGTTTATCGAATAAATCGTATTAAAATCTTTTTTTTGATCGATTTTTAGGAAAATAAATCGAATTCAATTCGATTTAGTTTTTTGATGGACATATGTAAATATATAAAATTTTTTCTGAAATAGGTAGGAAAGTCGTGTGAGTGGAGACACCAGATTTTTTTTTGTTTATGTTAAGTTCATACCTATATATATATATATATATATATATATATATATATATATATATATATAGGTTTATTACAAGGCAGATGAACACATTTATTATTATATCAATTGAACAGCAGTGTAGGTATAGTTTATAATATTTAATATTAATTCAAATTACTCGTTGTTTATAGATGTTGTTGAAGCCATAAATTTCCGATTGAAGAGACACGTACATACTATGACTGTCTATCAAGCTAAGGATTCAATACACATAGGCTGCTACTCCGATATCCTTGAGCTTATCTATGAGCGTTCACCAAATTCCATGGTTTATTGGGACAGGAACGGAAAAGCAATCACAAATAAGACAACTATTAAAGATGCTATAACGGATCGATATTCCTGGTGTAAGTTCATCAAATTATTGTTTCATAAACTGATTTTAATTTTATAATGATGTCGAGATGGTTGACCGTTGATATAATATGAGAAGGAGTTAATTGGGGGGGGGGGGTTGCGGTCAAATTAATACTAAATTAAAATATAGTAATTATTTAATTTTTGCCGACGTTTCGACCCACTTTGGAGGTCGTCTTCAGGGCGTCGGATGTAGCACTGCGGGAGGCAGTTGAATTTAATTTAGTATTTATTTGACCACACCCCCCAATTAACTCCTTCTCAGATTTCAATATTTGCAAACCTTCCACTTACGTAAGGTCAAGGTTATGAAAACGAAATATGTTTATTATTATTATTTTTTATTTATTTATTTTTATCTTATGCCAGTCGTTGGTCATTTGGTCATCCGATATCTTGCTGCCCAGTATAATTTAGATTTTTTAATATATATATTTGAAAATATTTTTTCTCTTATGCCCCTCAAGGCAGGACATGTGTCTAGATGGTCTGCATCCATTGTTCCTTGATGACACAATTTACAGCAAGGATCCTCAGCGACGCCTATCTTGTAGAGATGACTCTGCAGATAGTCGTGACCAGTGGCCAGGCGGAAGCAGGCAACTGCCTCTCTTCTCGGCAGTTCCACTGGTATGGGATTATCCTTCAAACACTCATAGCTTTTCCTTTCCACTTTGCCCAAATGTGCTTTTCTTATTTCTTCCTTCACTGCCATCTTTACCATTCGCCGTATTGAATCGTAAGGTTTTGGATGTATCGGCTGAGAAAAATCTGTTCCTCGCTTGGAAAGAATATCAGCCACAACGTTTCCCGGAATCCTTCTAATAATAATATATTCACATTATTTATAATCAGTGATCAGTATATCCGCTATATGCCGTAGACATATTGGGCATTAAATAAAAGTTTGGAAGAAAAGAGAAATGCACATAATATCATAAGAAAAACGAAAAGGGCATAGCTGACGAATGGGTGAATTAGAAGAATATATCCTAAAAAACAACACGAGACTCTTCTAAAGGCTTAAAGGATATACAACACCGAACTTAAATTTTCAAAGAAAATACGCAACAATAGCACAAAACGATGAGGAATATTGCGATTTTTTTGCGGATTACTTTGAGAATTAAATAAATTGAGAATGATCTACAGTCAAACTATAAGAAAAAATAGGTGCGTCAAATCCGAATAGTTCACCACCCACGCTGAATGAAATAATATTCTCACTAAAAGAAAATACAGCAGCCTGTAAAGACGTAGTAATAGCCGAAATGAGGAGATACTCAGAGGAAATTTACATAATTAAAATAACAGAACTAATAAAAGAAAGTTGGTGAAGATTAATAATACCGGAAGACTGGCAAACCGCTCTGATACACCCTCTTCTTAAAAACAGGATAAAAAAATAATAAAAACAATTATAGGAAAATATCCTTACTTTTAAATTAAGGCAGGGAGACAGGCTGTCACCAATATTAATCAACATCATGTTAGACAAAATCATGAAGACTTTCTGGGAAAAGAAAGAATCCGGGATAAAATTAGGTATGAGGAAGAACAAAGTAAAAATAAAGTGTAAAGTAAAGTGTGGGGTGGAGGGGAGAGGGGACTCATGCGACCAAAAGTAGAGAAGTAAAATTGGAGAGATTGGATCAATTGACAAAGGATGCCTATAATAAAAAGAATCGCAAAAATGAGACGCTATGAAACAGTAGTGAGACCGGCCATACTATACGGGACGGAAACAATGGTCTTACTAATTTGAAGAAACTAATAAAAATAGAAAGAAAAAACCAGAGACGTATCCAGGGACCAAGAAAAGTAAAAGAAGAGTACTGGCCTGAAAATGGTTGTATTTGTATAATACAACAGAAAATGAAACTTTTTTTTGTCCCTTAAGTAAAGGGAAATATTTAAAGGGGTTGTTTAGGGAACACATCAAACTTCATATTTGAATTAAATCAAGTAAGCACAACACAGCTGTTATACTGCATATTGCATATATACCTAAGTTGTTATTGTGACGCCGCCATTACTACAGCGTAGACGCTCACGTAGCCGTGACAGATTCATGAGACTGGCCAGTTAGAAAATTCGTTATTCCACTGATTTGATGAAAATGGAGTAAAAACCTACAGCGGCCGGCAAGGGGCCAAGAAAGGAAGAGAGGGAAGATGAACAAGAAGACTGGCAACTAGAAGAAAAGAAAAAATGCAAGTATCCCAACCCACCTATATTTAATCTCCGTATAAAACTACATGTAATAAAATAAAGCAATCAATTTTACATATTCACTTCTTTAATCCATTAACTTCTCTAATTTTACATTCCACAGCAATAAATTATCACCAGCTCTTAAAGCAGAATTATTATGACAATATCCCTGACAGTCTTGGAACGGATTGGCATAGTAAAGTTAACAGGGGTTATGAAAGACTTTAACAACTGCAAAATGTTTCAGATACAAATGAAAACCAATAAATTTAAGGTCAATGTTTAAATTTAAGATTATTTTAATTATTAAGATGCTTAAAATGTTTAATGTCAGATGATTTGGCCTCTACGGTGAGCAGTTTCAGTGAGGTATGCCAGCAATAACGGCTGACATTAAGAGACAGCAGTCGCCGTAGCGGGCAGTACCAGCGTAATAGTAACTTCATGATTAACTCCTCTGCATAGTCCTAAAGGCCAAGTCCTTCCAATGGCCACAATTCTTGCTCACACAATTAATTAGCATTTAACATAATTAGTTTAATTGCGTGTGTCAGTAATTTATCATTCTTAATTGCTCGTTAAAACCATCTTATTATTATTTTGTAAAGTAACGAGTGAAGTATTTTTTGGTGGTTGGAGAAGATGGTTAAAAATGTGAACCCTAAGCGATATTATAATTGTTTAATTGTTTAACGCTTTGAGGTTGATGTATTCCTGCCCAAAATACAATATATTCAGAGACCATTTTTCTTTCTAGTTACCATAACCAGACTATGACCTGAGATCTGGCTTTTACTATTTCTTTTTTTTTTAAGTATTTTATGAAAATTGCTGTTTCAGTTAAAATCCAAGCACAGCTGAACGACAGTGGAGTATATTCCTGCTCTGTACATACTCTCAACGTCAAGTTCCGGCCGATACAAGTTACATCAGTAATGGTAAAGACTGAGTCAGCCTATACTTTTGTCGGATTTAAAGGAGAGTTGTTCACATTCCGCAGCAATAATGAAGTTCTGGCTTTTTTATATGATAACCTCGAGTTGACATGGCTTCATAATGGGATACCCTCCGAAAAGTATACTGAAATATACTTACCGTTGGTAAGTATAAATTATATGTTATATTGTAAAATATAGTCACTTATCTAGTTTTTCCAGTGAATTAATAGGTAGTGGGTCTGTTCAACAGGGATGAGTGTTAACGCCCGAATCTACGCACTTTATTTTCCTTTATTTTTTCTTTCGTTTATTTTTTTCACACCATTAACCCCTTTTAAATGTTAATAATAATTTATTTTTTTTGTAACAGCTAAGATATAATAGTTCAAGAAACGTATTTAAGTTTATATTATTTGTATATTAGGCATTTTGCGATGTGTTATCGCGTTTGTATATACGATCCAGCCCGGCAGTAATACCCAGTCTTAGGGATTAAGACACCAAAATACTGCGAATATACTGCCGGGTGGTGAGTCTGGAGCGAGATGCCGTTTGTATTGGATCCATTATAAGACATTTACCCCCATCAGCTCCAGTCTCACCTCACCTTCGCCAGCCTAGCGCCATTTTGAAAAGCTCAGCTGCGTCATCTCTAGTCGTCGATCGAGATCGATAGACCTATCGATTCGATACTCCCCACCATCGACTTGACATCATAGAAGGTAACCTCTTTGGAAGAAGAGCCTCCAACTTGGAGCGTTTTTTATTTTCACCATCACCATGGGACATTTAAATATTTTTTTTTTCTCTCTCTAAATTATTATTCAAACTTTAATGAACTCTCAAGTTAATTTTTTTCCTTTTAATTAATTTTCTTCTAGAAATTTGATTTTGTTCTCTTGAAATTATTATTTTTTCTTAGTTTAATCTTTATTATAGAACTTGATTTTATTTATGTTTTGTTTGATGGACAATTTTATTTTTTCTCTAAATATTATACTTGGTGTTTTTTATTTATTTCAGTAAATCAGTCATACCATTGTTTGTTTGTTAACTTTTGTATATGTATATATATGTTTCCCACACAATTTCCACACTGTTATTTTAAATAAAAGATATATATATATATATATATATATATATATATATATATATATATATATATATATATATATATATATATATATATATATATCTTTTATTTAAAATAACAGTGTGGACATTCAGAAGAGGGTTTATATTTATTTTCCATTGTTGATTCATTGAGTAATTTTGTAATATTTTTGATGTGCATGCATTTTTCATGTTTTACAGGTCTCATTTTCACTATCTTTTTCCCTTCTTTCCCACCATTTAATTTTACTCGAATTTTCCCCACCTTTGAGGAAACTCACCGGGGACAGATTTGTATTTTAATTTTGAAATACCCCTGGCCCAACAGTAGTATTATTAAAGAATCTTATAGAACCGAAAGTCATCGGTTTACGAAGAAGCATAAAGGTGATTTGATGGGATTGATTGGGATTTATTTCAATCCTTCGATTTCGACACCATTCATTGAGATTTGTGATATACGATTGAAGATTTTGGAAAGCAATAAATGGGCCATTATTAACTGATAACAAGCATGTGTCATAGGCATATGTGGTTACGATGGTATTAAGATGAGCTGTAATGCCAGCTGTAGAGGGTGGGGCCAAGGCCTGGAGCACACCAGCTTGTTCAAAGAAAAGGGCAATGAATAGCTAGAAAAGTGCAATGAATAGCATTTTGGATTATCCTTATGTCACTAATCTTAAACTAATTATACATCTTCATTTACAGTTGAATTGTTACTTAATTGTATAGAGCAGGATAATAGTGTGTTGAATTAAGTTTTTTTAACAAATGGCTCTTTGGGAGGACTTTTCGGGATAATTTTAACCTTTTTTTGGTAATATCTTAAAAACTATTGCATATATGTATCATCCCATACGAGGGACTTAAGTGAATGTATTCCGTGTGTGTGCCGTGTGTAAAAGCACCGCTAGTTGCCTGGCAACCGGATAACAGAGATTTGAGATGATATAAAAAGTACGAGTTCGCGTCCCGGTGCCGGAGGGGATTTTAAATTCCCCGCCCTCACCCCCCCCCCGGCCCGGGAAAATCCCGTATAGCCTAAAAGGCGAGGTAGGGAAGAACAAGAAAAAAAAAAAAAAAAAAAAAAAAGTGAATGTATTCAGCTTATTCATAGTAGAGAATTAGGTCTCCTTATTTTTAATAGCTCTGGTTTCATATCTTATGGGCACCTTATTCTGAGAAGATGTATAACAGAGAATAAAAGATATAAAAATAATTTGTATAGAGCAGGATAATAGAATGTTGAATAAATTATTTTTCTAGTCTAAGACTGCTCATAACACCAATATTCCTGCTCATATAATTAATTAACATTTAATAAATCCAGTTTCATTGTTTATATCAGTAATTGTCTTTCTTAATTCTAGATAAAATCATCTGATTATTATTTTGTATAATAATCAGATGTTTTCTATAAACCAATTATTTTCGCTTTAATAATAATAATAATAATACTTTATTTATTCTGGGACAACTCCCTTTAGAATAATACATAAGGACAGTAATGTGGGCTAAGGAGCCTCAGAGATAAATAAAAAGAAATGTTGAGTAATGAAATAGTCATATTAAAAATTATATGTTACTTTCTAACTTAAATAAGTTAATAATAAAAATTGAAAATAAAGTAAAAATAATGAAGAACAATCTAATAATTTATATACATATTTACAGTGGTATCTATTTACAATTTTATGGGGACTGGATGGATAAGAAATGATTGAACAGGCGGGATTTAAAGGTAGGAAGGGTATTGGATTGACGGATGTGGGAAGGGATGGAGTTCCATAAAGATGAGGATCGGATAATGAACGATCTGTCGAAAGCAGCGGTTCGGTGGGCCCTTATGTATAAATCAGAAGACCTGAAACGAGTATTGCGGGAGCGAACAGAGGATTTGAATTGGAGGAGCTCGGAGATGTATGAAGGTCGGTGGGATTGGATAACTTGAAAGAGGAAGAGTGCCAGGAAATACTTACGACGGTAGGAAGAGTAAAGCCACTTCAACTCTACATAAAAACGGGAAACAGAGGCGTCCCTTGGGATCCCGAAGATGAATCGTACAAAGCAATTTATCAAGCGTTTTAGTTTCTCCTCGAGATCCCCAGATACGCCCCCATATACCGTACAGCAATAGTCAAAGTGGGTAAAAATTAAGGAAGTGACCAGGAGTCTACGGGTTTCAAGGAGAAATAAATTACGGAACTGGTTTAGGTGTTTTAAGGTGGAAATGGTCCGGCGGGAGATGTTGGATACATGTTTTTTCCAGGAAAGCGTTTGACCGAAGTTTATTCCAAGGTTTTTAATAGAGGGATAAAATTTGATGGGATTATCATGTAGGAAAAGAGTTGGAATATGTGGAACAGTTTTAAGGAGATGATTGGAGCCAATTAAGATTGCCTATGTCTTTTCGGCATTCAACTTCAACTTGTTGGCTCTCGCCCAGTCACAAATTTTATCCAAGTCTTTCTGAAGTTTTTCTGTGGCTGATAATAGCTCGGAGGGCGGGAATGACAGGTATATTTGGAAATCATCAGCATAGATATGGTATTGGGAGTGACGGATCAGGAGAGGAAGGTCATTAATGTAAATAGCAAAAAGAGATGGAGATAGAGAGAAACCTTGAGGGACACCACGGGAGAGGGGGAGGGTCTTAGATGGGAGTTGACCTGGGACGACTACATACTGGGACCGATTTGAAAGGAAGGATTTGAACCTGCGCAGGGCACTGTTGGATAGATGATGGTTGTGCAATTTCGTAAGGAGGATGTTATGGTCAACTGTGTCGAACGCTTTGGAAAAATCTAGAAGGATGAGTATGGTAAGGTTTTGGTGTTCAATGGAGTTTTGGAGGTCATGGGTTATTTTAAGGAGAGCGGATTGCGTTGAGTAGCCAGGTCGAAAGCCAGATTGGAATGGATTGAAGGGAACGTTCTTCTAGGAAGTTGGAGAGTTGATTTTGGACAATGCGTTCTAACGGCTTTGAAAGGTTCGATAGGAGAGAAATAGGACGAAAATCGTGCAGTGAGGTAGGGTTTGGAATTTTATTCAAAGGTCGGACTAGGTCAGTTTTCCAGCAGGATAAGAATATGGAGTTTTGCAATGAAAGGTTGTAGTTATGGTAAAGAACAGGAATTAGGGCAGGAAGGCTGGATTTTATAAGTTTTACTGGGATATTATCAGGACCATAATCATTAGTGTGGGATTTTAGGATAGTGGAAAGTAATTCATCGTAGGTCATATGGGAGAAAAAGAAGTCTTCAGGATTGAAATTGTGGTGTTTAGTATCGAAAGTAGGAGAAGAGTTGTGAGTGAAGGATAGTAAATGGTCATTGAGATCATCTGGAGTCACCGGGATGGAACTGAGTTTATTGGATTCTGGTAGGGATATGTTACGGAGTATTTTCCATTTGGATTTGGAATTAGGAGCATTGGAAAGGGTATTATGGAAGTAGTTTGATTTAGCCAGTCCGATTGTGGATTGGGTTCCATTGCGAAGTTTCTTAAAAGACGCATAATCAGCTGGCAAACGGGTTCGGCGGTATTTACACCTTGCTGCATCCCTTCTTTCCATCATTTCATTTATTTCAAGAGTCAGCCAAGGTGCAGTGGGACGACGTAAGGTTTTAGTTTTCAGAGGAGCATGGGTGTCTAATAAGGATTTTAGGTTTGAGGTTAGGGTAGATACCATAGGATCAATGGAGTCATAAAAAATTATGATGTCCCATTGGAAAGAATCAAAGTTAGGTTGTAGGGATTCATAGGACAGAAGGTTTAAATTACGGTATGAGACCATTTTGGGAGTAAAGAATTTCACGGGTAGGTCATATGTAATTTGGATCAGGTCGTGTGATGAAAGAAATGGAACGGGGTGTTGGGAAGAGGATAGAATTTTGATGGAAGAGTCAGAGATGTAGAGGTCTAACCAGGTGTCAGAAAATTGCGTGTGATGGGTAGGAGAATAAGAAACAAGATAAAGTTTGAGGGAAAACAGTAGGTCGGTTAGGAAGTATTTTTCAGGAGATTGTGGAAGCATATTCACGTTG